AAAAAAAAAAAAAAAAAAAAAAAAAAAAGCACAAATACGGCGGAAATTGTATTCGGTTAACAAATTAAAGTGAAAAAATAAACAATCAAACGATCACATTCAATGTGACATAAAGCTCAGTTGTCAAGGAATACTTTTCATATCAAAAAAGTTAGAAGGGAATAAGAACTTAAGTAACAAAGAAGAACAACCTTTTACAAGTGAAAGAAAATCAAATTAAAACCTCCGTGTACAGAGACATTAAGCTACAAGAAGGGCTCTTGTCGCCGGAAAAACATTACAGTGTAACCGTAAAACTATATATCACAAAATTACAAACAGTCTTACAATAAAAAGAACATTCATTACCCACTTAGTACTTTAAGAAAGCTCACCCGCTTATAATCCAAAATTTCATAAAAATTTAAACACGGATATTTTGTACACTATGCACACCAAACCCTAAACTCTCTTCATTTAAAGAACGTCGTAGAACACCGCAAAGCAACGAGGAAGAATGGTTTTGAAAGACTACTTCAATATTTGATTCTGGCACGAAAGCTTTTCATTTCAAACTATACCGACATTTAATCAACATATAAATGCAGCCTGCTGCTAATAAAAATGAAAAACACTCTTATGATTAGTAAAAAAGGAAATTTCAGCCTAAGCAGAAATTTAATATTAACACAATACTTCCTTACTTCTAAATATACCATGGGACGGTAAAAATCTAATAACCAACATCTTATTATTCCATTTTTAGGACTTCACCTGTAGAAAGATACTTGAAAGAAGCATTTGGAAGCAGCAAAAATTGCGCTAGGGAAACAAAATTTATACACTACAACTGCCAAGGTTCAGCGAAATCAACATGTAATGAGTGCTCCAGACGGCTAATAGCACTGTTGTAAGTCAACTTTCCACTCATAAACGCAGCGTCACGGAGCTGACCATCCTAAGATAAAGCTGTCATCAGAAACAACTCTCAGAAATCTAGATAAGAAAAGAAAAATTTAATTAAATTCTCACTTCAGTAGAATATGGCTGAGAGATGAGTAACGATTTATTTTGCGTTGCAAGAGCTAAGAAAAATGGCCGCAGTTCTCCGAAACTTGTTAACGTCTTCACGTTTAATAATGACGCAGAAATTAATTTCTTTTCACTCGTCGTCAGCTGCCCAAACTACAATAAGAAACCCATGAATATAAGAAAAACACGAATATTTGCTCAAAAGCAATCACAGTCAAACCCGTTTACTTTGTTGTTCAAAAGCGCACTGATTCGTCCCGCGAATGGAACAAATGAGTCGCTACAACTAGCACCGACAGAGGCAACAAATGCCCAGTGACACCTGGAAAGAATGCCAAAAATCTTTAAAACGCTACTATATTATAAAAAACAAGTCTAAAGCTGAACTGACATCTGATACTGAGGCAAGTATCCAGAGGGCAAAGTACACAAGGCTTCTAACAGTTTGCACGCAGCTAAATAAAGCTGCATCCAGTGATCACTTCGATCGCATTTCAGGTCATCTGACAAACTGGAGGCACCTAGGAGTTGTTGTTCTATTTGCAGTAAAACATGAACCTAAAAGTCAAGTAGAAATGATGGTCACTTCAAGAATTAGATGTAAAAGCTGAGCTATCATAATGAATGCGGGTATCAGTGGTAGCGCATAAACCCTTATTCCGTTAATGAGCTGTTTCTTCACGTTTGAACGAATAGCTTGAAAAATAAAGTGGTATGCTGTAAGTAAAAATAAAAGAAATAACCAAAGAAAACTAGTGTTGTAGAGTAAATTTCAAATTTATTTGAGAAAAACGTTAAATGCCAATTTGAAAGTTCAACAGTTAAAAAACTTGCTAGTTCTGTAACCATCGCAGGCCACATACTGACGAGGTGGGAAGGTCTAAGACGAAGGAGAAGTACTCGATAACAAAGAAAAACCTGAGCATGAACTGTTGGAACCTGTGATAGCCTTATATTTTCTGACAACCGCTCTAAAAAGTAAAAAGATATAATTAAAAAATGATACAAGTCGCTTAACTAGGAAGCCGCAAGAAGCAAATTGTGATATGGCTACACAGTTATTTCAACCAATTGAAAATAACTGGGCATTTTGAAGCTTTAAGTAAGTGCATAACAAAATTAGGTTTAGAGTACAACTCACCTTGAATTTCTGGCACCTGAGATTGATACCGATCCAGTTCAGAACTTAAAACTGTAAAAGCTAATCGCTTCAAAGCCTGCGCTCGCAATTCGTGATCCGATTCCTTGCTAGTTATTAAACTCGAAAGCGTAGAATTAGATGTTGTTGAAATACGCACTTAAAAGAATGAAGCATAATACGTGCATCTAAAGAGTACTGCAACAACTGTGAGCCGAAAATTATGATTTTTACAGGACCAACACGTTAATTAACTAGTTTTCGGGATTCCACCTACTAGCTCAAATACATATTAACAAAAATGAGTTTACCCATCAGGTTAAGCGCTATTACAAGTTTTATCCCTATAAAAGTAATAAGGTCTTTAAAACTGGCTAACTCAGCAATAGATCAATCAGTCTGGACTGAAAGACTGCCATAATTATCTTTGAAATGATCAATATTAACAGACCATTCGCCACTAATGCACACTAAAAAACTTCGAAAAAGTCACATTTAACTGTGGCAAGATTTTGAAGCTTTATCAATAAAAAATCCTACCATCCCTCCCAAACTTTCCTCGGAGCGACTGGCTTTCTACTACCACAAAACTCTGCCAGCCTTTAAAATATTTCTTTCAAACACTTTCTAATTCGAAACAGTGCACTTTTGTTGTTACGGTTTTTTCCATAATAAAGAGATCGATATGAATTGCATTGCGAAAATCAAATTTCAATAAGATCACTAAGAGTCAAAGACAAGGAAGTGCCATTTATATAAGAAAGACGACATCTAACAGATACCTGCGCCCTTTCTGCACATAATGCATTACAACCGTCTTGTCATAAATAACAACCCAACTAACCAAAGAAAGTTCAAAATAAATTCAAAACCAAGAGACAAAATGCCTAATTCCTCTTCGAAATTTGCGAAAAGAATCGTTAAAATGTAAACGAGACCAATACAAAGCTAAAACAGAACGAAAAAGATGAAAACCATGAGTCTAATTCTCGTAACACAACTAAAGATACTTCAACCGTTCCGGTACTGAGAAAGCCAAAATCTTTCGAGTGAATATGAATAATCTTGTAAACTAACATAATATTATGTTAACTACACTTACTCAAAAGTTCTCTAAAAGACGTTTTGTCCTGAGTCATCAGGTTATCAATGATTATTAGCCACTGTTTCAGAGCCTGGATGTCCATTTTAAAAAATGCTGAAATAGAAGAATGCAGTATAAAAA